TATACTCTTTTTTGTAGTCTTTATCTGATATTTAATAGACGATTACTGTCTGTATGAAGAAAGAATGAAAGAGTATTTCAAAGCACGTGTTAACAATTCAAACGTTTGAGTCGATCAGGAATTTATTGCTAGATTTTATGGTACGTTTTATTAAAGGAGAGCTCTATTTGTAACGTCAAATCGAGTACGAAATAAAATTTATTACAGAAAATAAAGGTACTACAAATACGGAAACAATTCTCATTACAGAACTTTTTTATTATTTAATAATTATGTCTTCAAGCTTCTTTTCCTCTTCTTAATATTGTCTATTTTATTTATAGAACAAATCTTTAATTAATGACGGGAAGCCTGCTTGCTGTGGTACCTACTTTTATTTTCTTATGGAAATCGCGCTATTGAAGTTTTGTATCCGAATCAAACCGACTACAACTGCACAGTATTCCGACACTAATAGGTCTATTGAGGAACTTTGGTATAACCTTTTAACAAAGTCACCGAGAACCCTAGTATACTCTAACCACCTCTTAAATAATAAGCAGCAACACTAACGCTTGCGGCCATGCCTCTAAAATATATTCATAAACTATGAAACAACAATAAATGCCCCAGTTTTACCAAGCTCGTTACGTAACGAAAATTTTGTTTCCCAATTATTTTGACTACACACCAACCGCGGTTTTGCTTTTTATTAGTTTGCATTTTTCGTATTATTATTTTTTCTTTTTTGATACTTATAGAGTATTAATAAGTATCAAAAAAGAAAGTAAGTATAGTATAGTATAGTATTATTATTTCTAAGTGGCGTGCAATGGAAGAGGCCTATGTCCAGCAGTGGACTGCGATAGGCTGATGATGATGATGATAGAGTATTTATCAAGCACAGTTTTACACTTTTGCGATCTTTGATATACAGGAATTAACGTGACCGTGATTTTTTGCATGCCTTGAGGTAGAATTTGGCTGCTCATTGTTATACCTTTATACCTTAATATGTATACAAATGTTCGCAAAATAAATTATTTATTTTGATTTGATTTTATTTGATTTGATTTGATTTGTTTTGATTTGATTTGATTTGATTTGATCTGATTTGGCCATTAAAAAGTTTTACATGCTCTTAAGCACGAAGCAAGTCTCAGATCTGAAACATGATATGTTTACATGGCCTGTTAGTTTAGCAGTTAGTGACCCACCCAAGACAAACTTTCCGTTATGAGAACAATCATTTGTTCTGTGTCTAGATATTATGTATCTTAAATATGTGTGTATATAGAAATATATTAGTAAGTTTGTGAGCGCTCTAGTCTCTGTGTTATATTATAAAATATAGCTTCTTCTAATATAATATGTGATTCCTAATGTAATACTTAAACGTTAGGGCCTTCAAACAGAGCTTTTACGGCGCGTAATGGTAACAGAGTAATATTTGAAATCATTATAGAGTAATATCGAATATTGTATTGGAATATTGAAAACTGAAATTGTTTCGTAGAAATTTCAATATATGGATATTATTTTTGAAAGTATTGTCAGGTAAAATATAGTGTTTTTTATTTTCCTATAAAAGAGAAACTTCGCCGATACTATACGGAATATATATTTTTGATAGGTATATGATTTCACTCGCTATTGTCTATATTGCTGAATCTAGTGCCGTTTTTTTATTGTTTATTAAAAATATAACTAATATAAATGAATAAATAATATTGTACCACATTCACACAACGGCATCTGGTCCCAAACTAAGCAGAGCTTGTACTATGGGTACTAGACAACTGATATAAATACATATATACTTTTTTTTTATAAATACATACTTATTATACATAGAAACACCCAGACCAAATCAAACATTAAATGTTCCTGCACACAAATGTTTGACTTGAGTGGGAATCGAACCCGCGACCTATGGAATAGCAGTCCCTTACACAGTCGTCATAAAATTTTTATATGTGTAATAAGAATATATAAGTAGAAAAAAAATGATGTATCAACACCCACAACCTACTGTGGGACGATTATATATTTGAGCCTTTTTACCCATTTTTCTCCTCCTGTTAATTGGCAAACATTATAGTCAAACCTGTTATCAGGCCAATAGGTTTAAGTCAATGACTTTGACTACCATGTACCAGGACTCTCCAGGTAAAGGCAGGGTAAACCCAATAATTAATAAAATGAAACGATCAATGTGTATAATTTTCTCCAAAATCTAGACAAAAGTCTTAGAAAACATATCATACCAAAACAAATTCTGCTTTAAATGGAAATAATCTCCAAACATAAAAAGAACGTGCCAATTCAAGGAAGGCGTAATTAGTTTTACATTAAAGTTTGATACTTTCGTTTTAAAGTTAGTTGTACCGTCGTGATTCGGAATTGGAATACGAATACAGAGTGTCACTACCTCGCGGGTGTCAGAGCCGACTATGGGAGCAAACTACGCAGGACAACAGCACTGCAGAGAGAAGGAAAACTTGTCACAAACCCTATACCAACACGTCTGGCCAGTGTGGTATAGTAGGCTAAAACCTCCTTTCTTAGGAGAGGCCTATTTTAAGCAGTGGACTATTAAAGGCTGTTGATGTGATGTGACCGTCGTTATCACATCATATTTTTATCTCCCCTCATCCTAATGATATACTCGTACGTACAAGATAACGTACACATCAGCGTAATCTTTTTTTCGTTGAAATTTTAACTCAGAAAATTCAGAAACAACACGGAGTTTTTAATAATAGATCTTTACCTATGAAGTTAGAGATTTTTAAAAGCAGAATTTTCAGATTTAGTTATCTGTGTAAAATTTAAATAAATTTTATTCGAAAGCCATGTCATTACCACACACTTTTATTACCTTGGTATGTATGCATGTAACAGAATCTTCGAACTTGATTTTGATTCGCTTTAAAACGTCGAATTAAATGGAAATTTTGATACAATAATTTGATAAAGTTGGCTGATTATCCTGATCAAGATATTAAGGATAAAGACTTTTTTCATTCCTAAAAACACGGTAGTGTCTTTTGCTACGTAGGCGACTTACTTAGGTACGCATTTGTGACTGTGATATTAATAACTTTTTAGACAAAAATAAATTATGGTAAAAGACTAAAAAACACGCCTTTGTAGCCGAACTAAAAAGTAGAAAATATATTTCTAAAAGTTCAAAAAGGAACATTATTTTATAATAAAATATTTTTACAACAATTCAGATCTAGCACGCAACAGACTTTTAGTTAGTATCAAAACAACATTGAATTAAATTGTTGACAAGGAATTTTTCGGAGTAATACCGGCCGCAACCTTCCGCTATCGTTCAACACATCAAAATTTTCATCCCCACTATTTGGATAATTGGCGTTCCACCTCTGTGCGCTTTTCAAGACACTTTTTGCCTCGCACTACGAATCTGTGGAACAAGTTATCGGTTGCAGTATTAAAAGGGCGTACTCCTTCCTCAAAAGCTGGCAACGCGCTTGTGACTTCTGAGTTGCAGGCGTTCATGGGCGTTCAGTCTGAATTTAAAAAAAGGTAGATAGTCGGTTCATGTATAGCACTACTGAATCGGCATGGAAACGTGAATCCTGTACGACAACCATAAGCATGCATCTCAGTGGGTAGACCCGGGTACAGCATCTAATCTACCTATAAAATTGGAAGATGATGGTGACTGTCTGGTGAACCAGTGCCAGTGTTGTACATCATATCTTCTTACCGGAATGCACAGTAGTGGCGGTAGAAGACCTAATATTTCTAGTAGACAACACGTCATATATTTTACAATTAGTATTTGATTTCTAAAATAAATTGCAATTTTATCCCACTATTAGTCAAAGAATAAAAAAAACTAACTAACGGGGGCCCTCTTTCAAAGATCGAAGGACCCTATTGCATCGGAATCATATCTCACTGACTGGTAAATGTTGTACCCATTGTTTTTATACAACTGATGTGACATGGTATGACCCGAGTGATACCAGTCTGGCCATCCGTGTTGCTACAGGAATTTTTTTATGATTTCCTTTTCTTTGCAGTGATGTTAACCTGCACAGTTTACTCCCTTAGTCGGCACTTACGACAACCACGGGATGAATAGGGGTGGTGACATTTCGTATTCTTAATTCTTCACCACACGAACAATTACACAGCAATATTTTGAACAGCAACAATAAATTTATCATAAGAACTTGTGTGAAAATATTTCGTAACTCTTCTGTTACTCTTTAATTCAGGACAACATTAAACTAGGTTACTCGAATAAACTCAAATATTTTTATTCGTACATTCATTTCAGTCGAAACCTTATTTCACGGACAGACATTATCTGTATCTACCCTCATGTCATGGTTCCATGACTCGCTGGCCAGCTAGGTATCCAATTTACGAAGTTGTTGGCTCGCATTGAACGGGAACAAACAAATTTATACGAATTATACGACAATTGGTTTGGAATTCCGTGTGATTGTGGTAAATAATATAAAGTGCCAGTTCTATTTGATTTAGTACATATTTGTTTTGATTAAATATGTGAGCGTTATTGTCACAATAACCAAAAATCAATAAAAGATAGGTGAAATACAATTGTCTTGTAAAATGATGATAAATGCACGGATGGCGTAGTGGTTGGTAGTGAGTTGTCCGATCCCCACATGGGACGACACTTGGTGTGATCCACATATTGTTGTTCTGAGTCTGGGTGTTCTTTGTGTCCTTTTCATGTATGTTTGTAAAGTCCCCTGCGACACAAGATATTATCCTAATGCGGGAGTTGTATTTACAAAAAAAAAAACATAGAATATTATAACACCAAGTCTCGTAAAACTGTCGTACTGAAAAATCACAAACATTTCGTTTCAAATAAAAAGCGATACGTCCAGGGGATTCCGCTCCGTTGAACTAGAAGCCCCCGGTTCATATCGACGCCAGCAAAATGGATACCTCAGGATTTCTATCTGATAATTTTTTAAAGGAAAATTGTATTTTTTTTTTCAATAATGGAAATATTGTTATCAGCATTTAAAGTTAGGTTTGGTTCATCTTTCTGGTAAATTTGCAATGATTTGTTTAAGTTAGCCACCTCCATCTCTCTCTCTCTCTCTCAAGGTAACTCTATAGGTTTTGATTTACCTGCAAAATACTCAAATATATGACAAAAGTCATATTGTTGGACCGCAGAAAAGGTTTAGTTGTTAATTTCACATCCAATTTCTACACGTTCTTAAGAAAAAGTTGGTGTGATAGTTAAAAATACGGACAACAAAGCGATCTTATAGAAGATTTTTTTAGAAAACAATAGCATAATAAAAATAAAAGAAACTTTATTGCACTAATAATTCTTTTTAACGGGCATGTATCACATGAATAGCTATCAATGGCGGCCTATTCCGCTAAAAATCAATCTCATGCAGGCAACCTTTGGATGGACAAATCGACAGTAAATAAACATATTCGTAGGTAGTTCTGATGTAAAGAGAGAAAGGAAGCAATAAATCTTATCAATAAATCAAACTAGGTTGGTGTCGGCCTTAAGTCTACTGCGATACGGCTGAACTTCGATTTTTCACGTGTAGACATAGATCAACACAGGCCACCGGAGGACCGGAGATGCGTGTAGAGTGCCAGGCAATATCGAAGTTCTGCAGAGAGACAATTGTCGGACTTTTAAGGGCTACCCGTAACGATTGCGACAGATAAACATCTGTGGCAATCGTTACGGGTAGCCCTTAGTACTCTCCGAGTCACGGAGGAGTCTCAATGTGTTTATAATGGTAGCCTATCCATAGATCATCCATCCGTAGATGCTTAACTTTGCAGAGACCTTAACATTAAAAAAGAACAAAAAATTGGATTAGTGTTGGTCAGAAAAAAACAGTTCACATCTCATCTCTATACAGTACTACATCATAGGATGCAATAACATTCTGTGAAATATCAGAATCATAAGTCTAATACATTTTTAATTTCTTAACCTTATAAAAATATAGCTTTAGATTTAAAAATATTGTGCTTAAATAACAAAAGCTAGAAATATAAAATTTATTTTTCATTCCTTTCGTACCCACTCGACGAGCTCGTCTCGCCATGTTGCTTGAATAAAGCTGAAGATGCACTGAATTATGAATAATTCAAGCCACCGAGTCTAGTGGCGCCCTCTAGTGGTGGTAGGGGATTCATAATTTGTCCTTTCAGCATAGTGAATGATATTTTATAACTTGTTTTTATTATTCCTTTGTAGACGGTAGATGGAATTATAAAATAATTAATTGCCTATGCTTGATAGTCAAGGACGATCAAAATTCACGTCTAATCTTATTTAAAGTAATTAACATGCAGATTATATTCGGATCGGATTACATTAGGATGTATTATGTCATTTACAATCCGATTATTTATTTATTTACACTTAATACACATTAAATATGTAGTTTTCATGAAGCCTAAGAAATTCTTTACAACTTAACTATTAAGTGATAAATAGTAAAAATTTGTTTAAAACTAAGGAAACAGACTATTATCAAACTTTGCTAAATATAATCCATACTATACATATTAATATTAAACTAACTTTAAACGAACTAACTAAACTTAACTTACTAATATTAAACTAACTAAACTAATATTATAAATGCGAAAGTGGGTCTGTCTTTCTGTATTTCTGTCTGTGTGTCTTTTATCTCTTCACGCTTAAACCGCTGAGCTGATTTTGGCATTCGATGGCGATGAATTTTGGCATAGAGATAGTTCGAGTCCCGGGAAAGGACATATCGAAGTTCTTATCCCAGAAATCACACTTTAAAGGTGTGAAAAATGGAGTGGAAGTTTGTATGGGAAAATAAGAACCGCTGAACAAATTTAGATAAAATTTGATACGAAGATACTTTGATTTCAACATTTGCTTCTTTTTACAGCTGCGGGAAAAAGCTAGTATCAAATAAATAAACGTATCGTATACTATACTTACTTAGACATATAATATATGGATGTCAATTGCGACAAAAGCTAACAATATTAAAATCAATCCTTACAAACAACTCCGGGAGTGCCAACAGAAGTATATATATTTATATACACAGGTGTCGGTAACGGTAACATTTTTTTCCGATCTCAAAAAATAAAGAAGTTTTCTCTTCAATATATGTATATAGTGGTGTCGGTAACGATAATAGTGTCGCGAGTTCAGTGGTTTTTTCCCATCTCAAAACAAAAATACATTCTTTTGCTTGCAGAAGAAGTTATTCCTTCAAAAATCTTGACAATAAATACACGAATTAGAAGTAATAAATTACACTCATCACGTATCAAATATCTTGAAGTTTTACATTTTTCTAGATGTCTAAATTTTATCTTTTGATTGTAATTACATGTCAAGCCGTATTCTCTTGATATTGTGAGTACCTATCATCTAGAGAAAAGTACTGTTAGCGAGAGATATTGATGAGAAAATCGTGGTAAAACTACTTTTAACTGAAAAGATTGACTTCGTTATGTATTCTTCCTATAAGATCTTGAACAACGTTGCTCGAGACAATATATTTCTAGTTTTATGTCAATCTAATATGAACTATTTGCATAATTTTTTCTCACCTACATGTTTTTTTTTACACAAAACACGATAGAATTCATCGACTGGTTGATTCTGAGCTTTGTTCTAATTGCTTGTCTGGATCACAGTATCCTCAAATGTATGTGTAAGATATTTCGAAAATTCGCTGACTCGATGACTTTTACAACACACTAACATTTAATAAATTTAATTTACGTTATGGCAGTTTAACAAGCTGCCTTTCTGCTTCCCAAGCTTAGGTCTCGGGTTCGATTAACAGGTCGGATCAAATGTTTCTTCTTGCATGATCTGCAGATATTTATTTCGGCGTTTGGGTGTTTTCCAAGTACAGTGTGTATGTATTTACAAAAGTATTCTGTCGGTCAATGTATCTTTCATAATACAATCTAGATTTCGTTATGTGTTAGATGTCCGAAATATTATTAATTATAATATGTCCGTGTGAAAATGTGAGCTCGTAAAAAGATATAAAGTGATTAGTGTAAAAGTTACGATATTTTTTTACCCCAATTTAAAGTTAGTTCCAGCTACAAGAATTTCTTATACACGTTCGTGTTTATGATCATCCAATAGGTGATGTTCTGAACCGCAAGACTAAATCAAATTCAAATTTTATTTCCCAAATATCTTGAAATAAAACGACCGATATCCATTTACATAAACCTTCACGCCCCAGAAACCAACAAACTTATACGTCTGGAATTTCGCAACACCAACAATATCCATATTTATGCATCCGACTGTACCGTGTGCAATCGGGTGAGAGGCTATGAGCTTTGACATTTCATTTTCAGCGGCTTCGCATGTGTCAAATGTAGCAAAAACTACATATTTTACGTCATGTTCATCGGTATTATTACATATCCAGCATATGACAGGAAACTATATATATTTATTTTGCAAAATCTTTTATTATGACCCTCTCGCCGCTTCCTACTGCACTGAGTGTTGTGGGTTCGGTCCCACATAGAAAAACACTTTGTGTGATGCACAAATTGTTGTTCTGTGTCTGGATGATCTTTGTGTCCGTTTCATGAATCTAATCTGAATCGGAAACGGCTCCAACGATTTTCATGAAATTTGGTATGCAGGGGGTTTCGAGGGCGATTAATCAATCTACCAAATAAATTTACCAAATAAAATATACAGTCGTCCAGTTACTGTTTGTAAAGATTGCACCACAAAACATTCCAAGTGTGGGAGTGGGAGAGTTACACATGCTAGTACCGTGGACGATGCCGTGACCAAATATTTTAAAATACTAAACGACAGTATTAAAATATTTGTTCCTTTAGTAAAAAAATACAACAATTGTCAGTATCCTACATGGTTTAGCCCATCCTTAGTGAAGATAATTAAAGAAAAAATAAACTTCACAAAAGATGGAAAAAAATTGGTAATCCCCGTGATTATTTAGAGTTCGATATTCTTCGTGATAGATAACACCGCGAACAGAAAAAATGTTTTCTTATTTTTATGGCTAACACCGAAACTAATATAAACCGCAACTCAAAATCTTTTTGGACGTACGTTAAGTCAAAGAGAGGCGGCAGTCAATGCCCTAGCCAGTTTACATCAGAAGGCTCTTTTACTGAAGAACAGGCCGTTTGCTCAGCTTTCAACAGTTTTTTTTTTGTATGTTTAACGATGTGCCTTGTGGTAGTTTTGAGACCATACCTTACAGATTTGATACTCTCCTTAATGTTTTGTCAAAAATTGATATAACAGAAGATATGGTTCTCAATTTGTTGACGACACTTGGCAAGACAAAAGGCCCCGGCTATGATAGAATACCTGGTATACTTTTATCAAAATGTGCTAATATCCTTTATATTTGATATTCAGAAAATCATTTTGATTGCATATTTCCGTCCATATGGGAAAAAGCGCATATAATACCTATCTATAAAAAAGGATCAAACTCAGTGATTCAAAATTATCGTCCCATAACTATACTTGTTACAATAAGTAAGATATTCCAAAAATTACATACATGCATTTACCCATTACCATGCATTTACCTTATCATTTCACAGAGCATCCATATACTCAGCACGGTTTTGTAAAGGGCCGTGCCACGAACTCTAACCTTGCTCTATTCTGTGATTATGCATCGTGTGGAATGGAGTCCATTGGGCAAAATTGACTAAATTTCAAGGCAAGCAGACAACATTTATCATATCTTGCCGACTGTAAGCACACTGATTGATTACTCTACTGCCTTGAGTTTTTTATTCGCTATTATTCGAGGTGAAATTGAAAGTGGTGCTAATTCTGTTGTTAGAAAACTCTCTAAACTAAACTAAAAATCACTAAAAATTTGTTAAGTTCTGCCAAACAACGTTTCCTATTCTGAAAACGTATATTTGACAGGTTTTTTTTTTTATTTTTAGTTTAGTTTAGAGAGTTTTCGAACAACAGAATTAGCACCAGTATCGACGTTCTCTCTAATATCAGCTTGAATGCGTCCAGGGCTCCTAGTAGACAGACGCGGCTATTCATTGTTCCGCTGCACCGCACCAATTATGGTAAGAATGCTCTCACTCGTTTGTCTAGCTGTTACAATGATAATTTTGACGAAATTGACATCTTCCACCTCTCAAAAAGTGCCTTTAAAAAACAAATCATTAAAAGGTTGCAATCATTCTTGTTAATCCAAATCAAGATTGTTTTTGTAAGCTATTTCTTTTGAAATAATTCTCACTCGCACAATATACCCAATATACCTAAATTAGAGGTAGTATATAACATTTATAATTACCTATGTTTAAGTGGTGCACGCAATTTTTACTTGTCAGGAAACTTTATTATTGGCTAAAAGTCCATTGAAATGTCTAACTTCACTCATGATATATGTAACATAGCTGTTAAGTATCCAAATAAACAAATAAACTACAGCCGTCGATGGACAGCTGTAACTCAAGAGTAACAAGGTCGTTGCCGCCATTTAAGTGTTCTTTGAGGATAGTTGGGGACGGGGCTCTGGTCACTCACTCGGTGAAAAGCTAGTAAAAAAGTATCGTTCTCGAGAGACCTTGGAATTTATTGACAAAATGTATATTACTATTATTTGTCACCAGTTTGTTTTAAGGACTATAGAACAAGAGGACTTTTTCAATTCATAGCGATATTTTATTATAAAATACCCGATTGATATGAATTTACCTGTGTTTTACGAAATAAATGATTGATTGATTGATTGATTGATATGAAAAATGTTTTTTTTTTTATCTACTAGTAATCGCTGATGTCGAACAAATAATGTAAAACGTCATTCGACGGTGAAGTATTGATGTCAATAAAGACCCGGCCTGAACCTATGTTGCTTCGTAACTACTAAAAGGCCGTACTGAATGATCGTCTACCACTATCTGGTTCTTCATTGCAGGCGCTTCACTGGGTATATTAATACTATAGAAATGGGCCGTTGATATTTCTGTCTTCTGTGGTTTTCCTATACGTGGGTATTACCCAGCTTCTTCGAACTACTACATCCTCAATCCCTCCAAGACTACAGTATCCCTTATCCTACCCCACCCTTTCTTGACCTATTTATGACCTGAACTCATCGTTTTTATTTGTCCGGTCTGAAAATGATTAAAGTTTCAAGATGTCAAATTGCAGGTCATAAAATAAACGAATCAAAACCCTTTGCAATACTAAACTTGAAGTTCTGATATGAAGCCCAGAAATACGATAATGATTAAAATTATCCATATCCATACTGTGATTTGAAAGTGAGTCTGTTTGTTTGTACGCTTTCAACCCTAAACGTAGACCGTTTCTATCATCATCATCATCAGTCTATCGCAATCCACTGCTGGACATAGGCCTCTCCCATTGCACGCCACTTAGATCGATTTTGTTTCTATATCTATATCCTGTATCTATATTGCTTGTATTTTCTATCATCACTTAACCGTTTTAAAATACTTCCACCAACGGAAAGCTACATTACCTGCGAGTAACATTGGCTACTTCCAGCCTTTGTCTCGGCCAACAGCTAATAAAATATTAGTTTTCAAAAATATTTTTTAACATCATTAATTACAGGGTTTGTGATTGTAAAAATACATTCAGATTACATTTGTATTATTTAGTATTTCGTGATTTCTTGTTTATCATATCTTTTGCGCAATTAATCTCTTTCGTTAGAACGGTATAAGGTAATTTGAAAAGTTTTGCTCCGAAACTAATAAAACTTTGTACTAAAACTTCTGAAATCTAAACTTAATTACAATCATAATCTTATTATATATTTGATCATCTTAATGATTAGGTGTTTATATAGAAATTATATTATACATAAGTAACAAATGTTTGAAAAAATATTCCTACCCAACTTTTTTTTCAACTGACATTGACAATTTAAGTGGATACCGTAAACTTGTTTCTGAGAAAGCCTTTTTATTCCGTTTCTGGTCTCTCGGGAATCTCTTCCTACAGCCGATGGCTTAGGTATTTACTATGTGTTACGCAGTCGCCGAAGTTTTAAACTTTCAATGTTATGTGGGATGATCAAATGTGATGGCCATTTAATAATTATATAAATTATAATTTATTTGTTAACTTTTAAACTGTCGCTTTCCATGTTAAATATAACTATGTAATTTATATATAAAATACTTATTTCCTACCTAAAAAATAACCGTATGTATTTAAATCTGTTGTCTAGTACCCAAAGCACAAGCTCTGCTGTGTTTGAGATAGACATTGTTGTATGAATGGGATAGTATGTTATTGGATAATTGGCGCTCTACTACTGTGCGCTTTTCGAGACCCTTTTTGCCCCGCACAACCAATCTGCGGCACGGGTTATCGTCTACGGTATTTCCGGACCCATACGACCGTCAAGAAAAGAGCCTCCTTCCTGGCGGCGATGGTCACTTTCCATCAGGTGACCCGTCTGCTCGTCTGTCCACATAAAAAAAAAGTATTATTATTTATTCCTTTTGAATTGTCTGGTATTTGATAGTTGTTAACTCGTATGTACGAAAATCCAATAGGGCAGGCACATCATCTAGTCTTTTTTGATCTTGTTCTATTAACCTTAAATTATAAAAAATAAGCTTTATATTACATGTCATTTAAACAAAGTTTACACCTGAGTTATGATCCTAATTGTCTATGATCATCAATCATCATCCATCAACAGCCTTTAATAGTCCACTGCTGGACATAAGCCTCTCCTTAAAAAGGAGGTTTTGGCCTACTATACCACGCTGGCCAGACGGGTTGTTATAGGGTTTGTGTCAAGTTTTCCTTCTCTCTGCAGTGCCGTTGTCCTGCGTAGTTTTTTCCCTTAGTCGGCTCTTACGACACCCACGGGATGAATAGGGGTGGTGACACTCTGTATTCTTAATCCGTCACCACACGGACCAGGGTCTATGATACCAGTAACTATTCTCCCTGCAAAGTTTTCTTTGTGCCAGACTGTAAGTATAGAAGATTAAATCATTTATTTGATCTTGGAAGACTACTATAAGTTACATTCAGCCATTAACAGGTCTTCACGAATAGAAAACAGTGACTAACCAAAGTCTTTAACATTCCAAGATATTTTTAGTCACTTTTCTTTTTCACAAAGTAAGGTCGATTAAGTGTATTAATTATTTTTTTCTTTTATTTCAGGCTCATCAATGGAGAACCGAACTTGCAACCCATTAGTACCATAAAAGGTTAGTGAACTGTTTTATGTTTAAGTACGAAATAATATCAAGTCAAGTCAAGAATTAAAGTCTGAGACACGCTGTAGACTGCTGCCGCTAGTTGCATTGGGGTCTGACAGTGGGTCAGAATGTAGAATGTTCGCGAATCCCTCTATTTTAGGCGCAAAATGGTTGTGTGTGGTTTTAGTCAGTTCGATTACGACAAACCACCCCACTAATAACCCCGGTGGGTGTGAACTCGAGGGGGTTTCAAAATTTAAAAGGAGTCTGAAGGTACAGTCGACCTAAATGTTGTTGAAATAAAAACGCATATATATAAATATGCGTTTTTATTTTGAAACCTTTAGACCGCATGACATAAAAACGACTGAGTCTTCAGACGTATGCCTTTAACGAGCCTGTTTGTGTAGTGGTTAGTGACCCTGACTGCTAAGCCAGAGGTTATGGGTTCGATTCCCACCCAAGACAAATAATCGTGTGATGAGCACGAATGTTTTTATGTGTCTGAGTATAATTTGTCTATAGTATGTATGTTACCATATTACAGGCTCTGCCTAGTTTGGGATCAGACTGCCGTGTATGAAGTTATTTTTTTTTCACTCATTTCCATATCACCGGCACGGCACTGCAGTTTGGTAGAGGATGCCTATGTCATTAAGTCCACCATTTTACAGTTAGTGCATAAACAAACACATAAACAAATGAAACAATACTCGATGAACCTCGATAAATTTCAACAAATGTACGGCAATCCAAAAAAAAAACAAAAACCACACTTTATTCGATTCAGTTCAGTTTTTATGAACTTCGCATATAAAAAGTACACAAACCCAATTTCATACATAAAGTTAGGAGGTCTACACGCACGAGTCGCACTCAATTCAGACATTTGAGTCGGCGTTACGTAGATAAATAATGGTAATAAATAATCTGGCCGTGACACCGGCCGTGTGGAGTGGGCTTTACTTCCCGTCACCGTTTGTGAGTGGCTACGGGTCACACCGTTGCGTAAATATTTATGCAACAACAGACAACAGACATATGTTAAGATCTATTACTCAAGAGAGGATTATATGGAGAATAAAAGGATTGGAATTAAATTGTTTTATATTCACAGGATATTTCAAATATTTAATGAAAAGGTAATGGAAGCTAATGTGTGTTTCTTATTTTTTCTTTTCTCGTTTTTATGGATTCACTTCTTCTTTTCTCTCTTTTACTCTCAATTTTATCTTTTTTATAGCTTATTTTTAGTAATATAAAGCTCACAACTAATCAGTTATATAATGAACTTAACTTAATATTACAAAAACTATTTGGAGTTTAAAAAAAAATACCTTAAGTTTATTTCCTTTTTTTTTCTCACTGAGCTCACTTTTTCAAAACGTGTGGTTAGGTTACGTGTGGTTAGATGTCAATACGATGTTTTTTGTTTTAAATTGCTTCAGTATGTTTTTGATCGACAAAGCAACCCAATATTGCGTTGCCATTGAGTGCGTTTATCTAAATCTGTATTCTTTATGTACTTAAAAATAAAGTGATTTTAAATATATTAATAAGCAATTTTAGAAACTTCATTTAGTGCATTAGTTTTTTTGGAACGAAGTTTTGGAACGAAGTTCCTTATCGCGCGTTGTGAAAGCGGGCTAGACGGAAAAAAAACTCACGAAAACTTGTAACGACACTTTTTATGTCACTTGTCAGTCATTCAGGGCCATCTATCGAATAGATAGGAAATCATTACTTTTCATCTCAGTAAAATTAAAATTTATGTTCTTAGGTTGAGCAAAAAATATTGTATTCGACATCATTTCTCAAGGAGATTTTACCAATGTATAAATTGTTTTAATTAGAAACCAACTGAAAAATATGTAGGTAATGGCCGCTTTCATAGATGGCGTTGTAATTAAAATCGTGTCGAATCAGTTTTACTCGATCGTCACAACTTCGTTCCTATCGGGTGACCCACGACACCACACGGCTTTTTTTGAAAATAAGTGCTTAAAAATCTCTAAAAGTCCATGACAGACTTCAAGAATAATTGGTACATAAAGGAGTTTAGCTTGAACAGAAGGCTGCTTTGTAATTATAGTGCATTTATCTCGCCTAACTACGTTTTTACTTTTTCATTAACTTTACGTTCAGTTCCAGAGAATACCTTAGACATTTAGTCTACCTTAACAAATAAAAAAACACGGATTACAGCTTGTAATAGTGTTAATTGAAATTCACTGAAGGCAAACATTTATAACAAAAAAAAAAAACATTTACGTAAATGACATTTGGCCACGATCAACAATATTTGGTCCAAACTTCTCTAATTAGCGAAGTTGGTGATATTCAGAAACATCTGCGTTTAATAGTTTATTTTAACTAACGCAGTTTGCGACTGTTTGTTTGTCATTATCTTCTCTTACTGAAGTAGTAATTTGATGACAAAATAGTCTTGTCTTAGCCGACTTGTTGTGTTAAAAGTTGGAATTGCTATCGAGGCGTTCCGAGTTCGAAGTTGCATACTGTAATAATAACTATAACCTTGCACATTTAACACAAGGCTATCTGATTCCAAACTGGGCAGGGCCTGTACTATAGTAACCAGACTGCTGATAAACATACTTATATTTATTTTATTCTTTAATGTGTTCATGAAAGACGTCACTTCATTCCTCAAAAGCAGCACACCATACCTCTATGCGCACGATCTTAAGTTAATGAGACCAATCAGAGATCTTGAAGACATGACGTTACTGCAAGATGATCTAAACAGATTGGTTTGCTGGTGCAATGATAACAAAATGGTTTTGAATATTGACAAATGCTGTAATATTCGCTTTACTCGTAACCGTAACACTGAATTGTCCGGGGCTTATACCATATCAGACCAACGTATTCAAGAAGTCGAATGTGTTCGGGACCTTGGTGTTGTTCTTGATAAACAACTAAATTTTAAAGAACATTACGATCACATTGTCTCTAAATCACTCAAATTACTCGGTTTTATAATAAGAAACACTAAGCACTTCAATAATAAAGGTACTGTTATTAGATTATACGAAAGTCTGGTCCGGTCTCTTATGGAATACTGTTCTGTGGTATGGCATCCGCATTATGAGGTTCATTCCAATAAAATTGAACGCGTGCAAAAAAGATTTATGCACCACGTGGCATATAAATTTAACTTGTCGAAGAAGCTTACTAGTTACACAAACCGACTAACTCATTTCAACTTAATATCATTAAAAAAGCGGCGCAAAATTTTAGATCTATCTTTTCTTCACAAGCTAGTTAACGGTAATATTAATTGTCCTAATCTGCTACAATAACTTAACTTCACTATCACCCATAAACTTCCACGACTGTCTAGATACTCCTTGTACACACTTTTACACACGTTCTCTCCTTTAAATAGGCTCCAGGCAGAATATAATTCTATAAGTAAAAATAAGGATATCGATGTGTTTAGATTAAGTTTACCTTCGTTTAAAAAGAAACTATCATTGTTAAGGTGAGATATATTTTATGTATAATATATTTTACTACATTCACACAACGCCATCTAGTCCCAAACTAAGCAGAGCTTGTACTATGGGTACTTTTTTTTTTTTTTTTTTTTTTTTTTTTTTTTTTTCCGTGCGGAAATCCCCTCGGATACCACCTCTCGGTGGCATGTCGGACTCGAACCGACTAAAACCGCACGCCTTCGCCGGGTACTAATAGCCGGGGAACCAGGTATACCCTAGAAAGGAAGGCCCTGGTGCCCCGACATACCTCGGGTCATCTACAGACGAGTAGACGACCCCCGCCCCGTGTGGGAACCCCATGTTCCCTGTGCTCCCTGGAAGCGAGCGCGCTTCGCAACGCGCTCGCCGCCACCCCGGCCTGCTTCTGCTAGGGTGACAGATGGCCTCACCTGTCACCCCCAGGCCTGCGCTTATGGAGGACGGAGGTCGTTCTGCGACCTCCGGCGCCTGAGTCGCCTGCGCTGCCTGGCCCGTGCCCGGGCCTGGCGGGCCGGGAGAGTTCTAAACCTCTCCCGGTCCCGCTCCGCCGTCTCCTTCGCGAGCATAACTTGCTCGCAGACGGCAGAGTTCCACGCACTCTCGCTCCGCACGATAGCCGCAATCAGGCTATCGAGCGAGAGAACTCCCACTCCGATGGCCGCCACGAGGTCTCGCCTCTGCTCAACCCACGCCGGGCACTCTGCCAGCGTGTGGAGAGCCGTGTCCACGGTCTGGCCATCGCAGTGGTGGCACTCAGGCGTTGGCTCCTTGCGGATCAGACACAGGTGATCTCCGAAACATCCCTTCCCAGTGATCACCTGCGTCAATCGGTATGAGAGGGTCCCGTGACGCCTCTCGAGCCAATCCTCCATAACGGGTCTTACCGCCGCAATGACGGCGTGCCCGTGTACTATGGGTACTAGATAACTGATATAAATATATATATACTTTTTTTTTGTAAATACATACATATTATACGAGTACATAGAAACACCCAGACCAAATCAAACATTAAATGTTCCGGCACACAAATGTTTGACTTGAGAAATGTTTGGAATCGAACCCGCGACCTTTGGAATAGCAGTCCGTTACACAAACCACTACGCCATCCGGTCGTCGAACCCAGGGTTTGGTATAAGGACTATTGTTTGTTTTATGTTGTAGAAGTTTTTATGTTGTTTTAAGTAGTTATTCTGTAAGAAAATGTCTGCTCAAGTCATTTTTTTTCTCATCTTTTTTTAAGTTAGGGGAAGCCTTACGCTCCCAACTCTCTTTTACTATGTTTTCTGTGGCAACCTGTAATTAAGGCAGCAGTAATGCTTGTATATCACTGCCATTGTATCTCTTGCTTTTAAGGTGTATGTTCTTGTTGGTTGTCCAAATAAATAAAATAAAATAAAATAAAAATATTTCTAAATACATACATATTATAGATAAAGTACATCAGACACAGAACAAATGACCATGCTTATGACACAATTATTTATCCTGGGTGGAAATCGAACCCAC